TAAAAGGCAGGGTTTGTAGGGGGACGTGAAATGTGGCTTGTAAAAGGCCAGCCAGGCCCAGGCAGTCCTGGAGTCCAGGGGAGCCAAGAGGCCAGGTGCAGTCCCCCGTGGGCCAGCTCAGCTCTTGCTAGTTTCTCATAGAGGTGGAGCAGGACCATGGGAAAGGCTGTCTTTAGGCAGAGGGGAGTGTGCTGTGAACTGCAGGACCATGGAGTAAACCGAAGGATACCCCCAGACAGAACTTAATCACTTCCAGTTTTTCCATAAAGACATGAGGCAAAATTGGTGCTGTGTTTGCTTTAGAGGAAGACCAGTGGGACTGTTGTTCTCCCATGATTTCAAAATCTAAAAGGATAATTTGTACAGACCCTGATACGGAAGAAATTCCTCCACTTCAATTTATGAAGTATTTGTCTTTCATTTATTCCTGTGGTCATGATATTTTTTAGAAAGCAACTCTGTCTGTATGACCTTATTTTAAATACCAGGCAAAGAGATATTTCCTTTCTTCATTTGGGCACAGGGCTGAATCCAGAAATCCTGGGACCACCCAGTGGTCCCAGTGTTAAACACAGTGTTGGATTCTGGAAAAAGGAGCCCACTAAAACAGAATTGGAAAGAGAAATTCATGGCATTTACACATTTTTTTTAACCCTGTACTACGTGCTGGGGGTTACAGACATGGTTTACGTATGGCCAGGCCTCTGGGAGCTTCTATGGGACTGGGAGAGGAGCAACAGTTCAGAAATGTATCTCCCATTGTCCAGGCAGAGACCCCCTGCTAAGTCACATTGCCCATCAGGAAATGCCTCACTCGTGTTAGCTTAAAAATAGCCTTCTTGTTTGGCCCCCTTGGGGGTGGGATATGAAAAGCATATATTCCCACCCAGTCCAGTTGTCCTATTTTCTCAGGCCTCAGCATGGATGGGGTTGCTATAGCAACCCTGTAAACAGTATCTAATCTGTGTCAATGATTATATATATATATATATATATATATATATTTACTGCAAATATCACCAAGTCCAAGAAATTGATCCTCCTATGAACATGACAGCTGGAATAGGTGAAGAATCCTACTTCCCACTAGATCAGAAGTGAAGATTTTTTTCCAACATGGATTTGAGTAAGGGAAGTGGGCACCCCATAGCTTGAACATCCAGACAGCTTCCTCTCTGCAGTCAGCCTTGGCCAGGACAGCCACTGAACTGCCAGCCACAAGCCACACATCCCCAAGGCTGTGTTGGCCTTGGTGGCCACAGCGTTGGGAAGAAAACTCTAGCCTCTGTACTTTGGCTCAGAGAGCTGTAACTTGAGCTGAATTCATTGTATCCCCCCCCCCCCCCCCGCCCCTTGGCTGAAGAGAATGAGGAAATCAATAGATAAATATTTTAGAACAGGAGTCCACAAGCTGCAGGCTAAATCTGGTCTGCTGCTTATTCTTATAAATAAAGTTTTATTGAGACACAGCCATGCCTGTTTCTTTACATGGCGCATATGGCTGCTCTCACAGCACTAGTTACAACAGAGACTGCACAGCCTAGAGCGAAATGGGTTTACTAGATACCCTTTACAGATGAAGTCGGCTGACTCTGTTCTAAAAGAAACAGAGGAAGGATTTGGGGAGGAGGAAAACTAATCTCCATTAGAAATCTGGGTGAAGACCAGAGTGAGGCAGGAGCCAACATGGAAATGTAGTCTGTGAGTATGAGGAGGCTGCTGGGTGTCCGCAAGTCTCTGAAGCCTGAGGCAGGAAACGGTTGTCTCCTGAGAGAAAGCATTTATCTGTTTTTACCAGAGAGGAATTAAGAGATGGTGGCTTCTCTCATCTTCCAGGTAAAGAAACAGACAGGGCTTTGCCAACCAGTAGGTGGAGGCTGGAGGAAAGTGGGAAAGACCACTTCCAAGCTGGTGGGGAATTTGTCCGATTCAGACAGCCAAGCTTGTGTTTGCCTAGAACACCAGGGAGATGAGGGGCAAAGGTGGGCGGAGGAATTTCTTAGAGGCCTGGTTGGCACTCAGGGTTGTTCCTAAGAGAAAAAGTGGGAGTTTGGCCCACTGGCTTCATGGAGAACCTGTACTCTTTGTACTTAGTAAAGGAGAAGTAGTCTTTCTTGGCTTCTGGAAACTCTATGTTATCAGCTGGCATTCTGAGGCCTTAGTCTGCCCACCTTCTGCCCCAGAAAGATGCTTTTCAGTTCCTTGGAAAACAATACAGTTACTTACCCAGAGAGACAAATCCAGGTCCAAAGCAGGGGAACTCTGAGTTTCAACCTCAGCCTCCCTGGTGCATGAGGCAGGTCTCTTGACTCCCTCTGTCTTGCTATTCTACCCATAAGACAACTGCGTTCCCAGCCTGGGAGGGTCTTTGCCTGAAACCTTGGCTTGTTTTCATTTTATAACTGTGGAAATTAAGTTCTGGGTTAATTTCTGAGCTGGTGCTTTATCTTCTCAGGATAGGTCGTGCTTCATGTTAGCTGGTGAGTGCCCACATATAACATGTGTGCAGTGTGTGTGTGTGTATCCCCGTGTGTGTACATCAATATATATATAAATGATGGACTCGGAGCTTGCTTTTGTTGGGTGGAAATTTAGCAGCACTGGGAGACCTAAGCCAGTTTCAGGGATGGGAAATAGTAGGGTACAAGGGGAATGCAGACCAAGGACAATGAGCTTCCACGAAGCCACAGGTTCCTTATCAGAGACTCTACGCTTGCATGTTGCTAAGGGATGGGTGTGGAGCTTTGGCGAGGATGATCAGTGTATTAGCATTGGCCCAGATTGGAGCATCCACTTGGGGCTCCCCATTTCAGTGGTCACCCCAGCTCTCAGAGCACCACGTGGTCCTCTAGGGTTGGCCAGACAACCTCGACGTGCCAGGCTCTGGGGACAGGGACAAAGGTGAGCAGGACCAATATGGTCCCCGTCTTCACGGAGCCTAATTTTAGCAGGGGACATAAACAGGAAACATGTAATGATAAAATCAGTTAGTTACGAACGAGATGAGTGGTAACAGGAGAAAGTGCCCGGAGCTACAAGAACTTAACAATGGAAGCCTGAGCTCGTGGGGGTCTCAGAGATGTGGTTTTGGTTCGCTCATGGAGGGATGCAAAGACACACCCTGGGCGAATGAGGTGGAGGAACTGGAGACTGGCTTCAGTGGAGGCCCTGCTTTTCCAATGCGAAGATGGAAGGCTAGTCTGAGGGGGCAGTCAGCACAAGAGAGCCAGAGGGACAGAGGTGAGGAGGGTGGGGACAAGGTCTTCTCAGATTGTATACCGCAGGATGATTGAGGCCACATCCTCTTTATCACTTCTTACCCACGTCCCCCCCTCACCCAACAATGGGGAACCCAAACTGTCCCTCTCGCCTGTGACCCTGGAAAACCTCGCACTGAGAGGAGCCTGTCAGCAGGGCCAGGGCTTGGTATCGTCGGACCTGAAGCTTATATAATGTGGGAGGAAAGTTCCTTTGAAGGAAAATGTGAAATTACAAAAAACAAAGTTAAGTTCAAGGCCTCAGTCAGGGCATGACAAGGAGGGACCTTCAGGTTCAATTTCAAAGGTGAAGCCACCTTCGGTGCTTTCCCCTCATCCCTACTCTCAGAGAGCCTGCCTCTGTCTCCGAAGACATCCATGCAGTCCACATCAGCTTCCTGCTGTTCTCTCCTTGCTTGAGATCACAAACAAAGACCCAGTGTCTTCTATCAAATTCTCCTGGAAATCTGGCTCTCTCCTTCCTCCCAGTAGTGTCCGAAAGAACACGGGAATTTCCTTCTTTTGCCCAAGACTTCCGTGATTTTCCCCCCTGCCACAATCAAGGCAGGGAATGTTGGCTGGGGCACTTTATTCTTTTGGAAATGTGACGGAGGAATATGAATTTCCATAGGCAGAAATGTTCTGTCTGGTAGGTCTAGACTGTCCATGAGCCAGCAAGTTCACTGGAGCCCGTGTTGGCGCTCTGAGCACCGCCTGGACGTACCCCGCGGGACGGGAACAAATCCCTTGGAACTATGTTCTGTGGTGGGGAAAAACCCACAGGCATGATCAGTGACAGAGAAGTTTAATAGTGAATGACTTACAACTGAAAAATGACAACAGGCTCTTCTCTCCAAAATCCAAAATGATCAAAGCCACTTCCCAGTAGTGAGCAGTGTCTGACAGTTGGGAACGGGAACGTGGGGAGTCTGCTGTCCTTAGAGACATGTCAGAGCACTCCAGAGCTCCAGTCGAGTGTAAGGGAGGGACCGGCCACCCTGTTGTGGGGTATAGGGGAAAACTAAGTCCTCCCAACGTGCCGCCCCCGATTCCCCAGCCAGCCTCCACACAGGCCCAGCTCAGCGCACTGCACAAGCACTCTGAACAGCGGGCTGGCTTGGCGCACTGAGAGCTGGGCCCCAGCACTGGGTGGGGCTTTGGCCATTGAGGTGCGATCTGTTCTGGAGGCTGCCCACTCCCTACCCCTAAGATGCGGGAAAGCGTCTGCTCAGCCCTGGTGTAGTACCCTCAGCCTGATAGCCACAAGGCCTTTTAGACTGTTCTCTTTGCAGCTAAACATTATCATATCCCATCACTCAGGCAGAACCCACCTCCATCAGAGACTTTCTGCCTCCTCAAGAGAGCAAACAGAAGGAAATGACCACACTGTAATCTAAGAATTCTTTACGCAACTGGATTATTATTCATGCACCATCCGAGAACATTTAAGGATCTTCTCAAGGAAGAGGTTCCTTCTTGAGGAACCTACTAGAAGAAGCACTTCAGCAGCCTGAGACATTAACCACAGGAGGAAGGCATGCTGCAGCCCAGCCCCCCACTACTGTGGGTTCCCCCGGAGGAGGAGGAGGAGGAGCCCTCACGTCGGTGGGGGGCTGACTTCCCGGGAGGAGAGAGTGGGAAGCTTTCACAGAAGGAGTTCCTGCTGATTTGGAAGGAAATAGTTGGCTGATATTTACTCCTTTGCCGTTAAATCCTGTTCTTCCTGTCTTCTCTCCCCCACAGACCGTCTTTGAAAGGAACTGCCGCTCAGAGGACTGTGCCGCGGACCTACAGCTCCAGGGTCAGCTGCTGCTCTCCAGGTAACCCAGCCCTCCTCCTGCCACCTCGTTCTGGGAGGCTCCTTTGTCAGGACCCCAGGCCTGAAGCCTGAATGTGCAGAGTGCCCCCCCACCCCACAAAGAGGAGAACTAGAATTGGTGGGATGCAATGCTCTACAACAGTATTTTATAGCTTAACAAGAAGCATGTATATTATACAATAATTTTTTTAAAAAGCTTTTACTTGAGAGGGAGCAAGCTAAAGAGAGCGTGTGGGAGCTGCGAGGGAGAGGGTCGAGCAGACTCCCGGCTGAGCTGAACAGGGAGCCCAGTGCAGGGCTCCATCCCAGGACACTGAGATCATGACCTGAGCCAAAGGCAGAGGCTCAACCCACTGAGCCTCCCAGGCTTCCCTGCAATAATTTTAACAATAGCTATCCTCTGGTGGGGATGATTTGCTCTTTGTTTCATTTACAGTTCTGCATATCTCACAGTTTAGCCTGTATTTCTGATTCCTGTGAGTATTGGTGTGATGGAGGGAGTATTTTATAGTTACTCATTGTATGAGATTGAACCATAAGAAATTGCCAGGGTTTAACTGGGACAGTTCCTATGATTTGACTTAATATTATAATAAGATTCTTTTAATGTTTCCCCCCACACTTAACAATGGCATCTGCTTTCACAACAGGTGAAGGCTCTTTGGTGGCAGGAGGGTGTGCCGGGAGGGGTAGGCGATGTGATCCCCGGAAACAGAACAGCTCTGTTGTTTCAGGCTTCCCTCCCCCAGTACGAGAGTCCTCCTGGCGAAGGTAAACCACACAGAGGCCTCCTGTTTCCTCTCTGCCAGCCTTTTATTTTAGACACCTTATAGGATGAAGGTGCTGGTCCTGAATCATTTGGCCACATTTCAGAGAATGGTTTCCTTTCAAGACAGTTCCTTTGGAACGATCGTTTTAGCTGATCGTTTTAGCCTGGGGGCCAGAATGTCTGTCCATACATGTATTACCATTGCTCAAAAACTGTCCTCACTTTTGATACTTCTCCAAATGCCATTGTATGTCCCTTATTTGTAACCATGAGAGTTAAGTTTGGGTGGATGTAAGAAATATCTATCCCATTATGAACCAGTGACTGCACTGAAACACACTTTTGTTGATAAATTACCTATTATTTATCAAAAGAAAGTAATACTAAGATTCTTTATCTTTTGTTTTCATTTATTGGGCAAAAGATGATATAACACACACCCCCCCACACACACAAATACTTCTCCAAGCCACTTAAACGTTAATTAGCATTACTTTGACTTCTGACAAAAGTGGTAAATTAAAATGGCACACGTTTTGCCAAGCTGAGAAAATGACTTCAAATAAAAGAAGTGGATATCAGAATTTTTTTAAGGTAAAGAAGTTCCAGCAGTTATTGGAGAAACCAGTTCTAAAGAAAGTTCACAAATTATCAGGCCATTACTTTCAGTTTTAAATAGGTCTTCCAAAAAGTGTCTTAGGGACAAAGTAACATAAAACAAAAACACATGAATTTGCAGACAGTAAATGTTGGAAGTTTGTTTTGGATCAGAAAACTTTATGTGGTGGGAAAATGTTCACTTGCTCCAAGGTTAAGTATTAGGTTAGCGAAGTCCTGATGTTCCAGCTGCCCATTGATGGACATAGTCAAGTTCATCTCTGTGCCATTGTGCATTTCTTGTATTAAGACATAAAACCCAAGGCTCATGGTTGGTAAGTTAAAACAGTGGTTTTAACAGCCTCGACTGGTGGTTAAAACAGCCTCGACTGCCCCTCAGGAGTGTTGATCAGAACCAGGTCTGCTCTGTGGGCCCAGAAATTGATAATTTCAGAACAGTTACAGTGGCCGAGACCCAGACCCCCCATATGTATCAGCGAGATTTAGCCACAGAGAAAGGCTGTGTAACAAAGCACCTCAAAACTCAATGGCTTAAAACAGCAGTCATCTCTTTTAATGGATCTGCAGGTTAACTGAGGGTTGGCGGGTCCAGGCTGGACTCAGCTGGATCTTGGCTGACTTGTCCATGCATCTGGGGTTCAGCAGAGAGTAGGTTGATCTCGGCTAGGTTCAGGTGACCCAGTTTAGCTGTGCTTCATATATCTTTCATTGTCCTGCTGGAACACTCGGCTAGCATGGGCTTATCCTTCTCGTGGCTTGGCGACAGCACAAAGGGCAAGCAGAAACATGCAGTACCGCTTAAGATCCCAGCTCAGACCCAGTGCACTGTTACTTGAGCCTTACTCTGTTGGTCACAGCAAGTCATATGACCGACCCCCAAGTCAGGAAAATATTTTGTGCCCCCTTAACGATAGGAACTGCAAAGTCACAGAGCAGAGGACCTAAGTTCATGGAGGGGTGAACTGGGACCTAAAAGACAGTCTGCACTACCACATGAAGAAGAGGGCTGCTCTCTTTCCTGATATCTTATAGTTTCTAGGGATGTTTCAGCCTTTCTGGTAGTTCCGTCATCCTTGACTTAGACACAAGACCTAGAGACTGGGTAAGGAGATTTTCTGAATCTCAGAAGTGGTGCCCTTGGGCAAAAGCTATGATCCTGTCCTTAGGATGAGTTATTTCTCAGGAGGCTCCCCTGGTCTCTCAAAATAGCCTTTTGTCTGGATCCCACATTAAACCTTCATTGTATCTTGGGCCCCTGACTGTCCCCAGAGGAGTCATCAAAGAAACATTAATTGGTAATTGGGTGGGGAGAGACACAATATCAAATGGTGGTTTTCCTTAGACCTTCACGTAGATCCAGGTACAAAGTGAGGGAAGGCACAGGCATTAAACTGCTGGTGGAAACCAGGGTCTGAATTTGGTTGACAAAATCTTGGTTGTTGAACCAGAACTGAGCTACTCTGGTTTATTACTGAGCTCTGTTGAGCCATGATTGCCCCGGGTGGGAGCCGTGATTGCCTCCGGGTGGGATGCACATCCCGTAACTGCTCAAATCAGGGAAACACTGGGCATCAAGCTGCCGACATGACCGGTGTGTGTGCCATGCTCTCCCAGCATGCACCGTGTAGGTGGGAGAGGCAGCCAGGGGGTGGTGGCACCATCTGGTCAGTTCTAGAAGAGAGGAAGATGGATCATCATAGGACCATGGAGCGGCTTCCAAGAGGAGGAAGGAAAGAGCATGAGGAAGAGGATGCAGGTATTCTGGGCAGAGAGAAAATGTGAGCAGAGGCATGGAGGTGTGGAGGGCCAATGCCCTCAAAGATCCGCAGGTGTCTGGAATGAAGGTGAGGAGGTCAGGAGGACTTGGTGAGGGTTGAGGCAAAGACTGGGAGCGACATGGTGTGGGTCATCTAGTCTTCTATTCCACTCAGCCAAAGCTTGAGTTTTGAGTCAGCTTTTCCCCAGCCCCCTCATTTCCTAGTCCCTGTCACAGGTCCATGGGATCCCTTTGTCCTGGCACAGGAGCACCCTTGGCAGTGTTGGACTTGTGAGACATGTTGTGTTGGTCCTCACCGTGGTGCCTCCCCAAGGACTTCAAAAGGGCAATTTGGACTTGACTTTTGCCTTTCATAGTGTCTCTAGAACCTAGCTCTCATGTTAGCTGCGACCCACTGTACTGAAAAGTTGAAGCAGAGTGGTAACAGAGAAAGATCCCTCTGACGACTGGGTGGACAGCTCAGGACCAAGTGTGTGGCTGAAAGCAGTCAAGTGCCCACCATACTGAAGAGTTTTTGTCTGGAGAAGACTTGAGGGAAAGACATCTGGGAGTGATTGGGTCCCCCATAGTGGCCAGGGATCCAGCCAGGAAATGCTATCTGTGACAGGGACCCATGGATGTTTTGATTTTTCTCTCCAGAGAGCGTGAATTCTGGCAGGCTTGCTGTCTCTTAAAGCAATCACCTCTTTAATTAAAGGTGCACAGTCTTCAATGGGCTTGAGCTCATTCCCAAAACACGCCATTTCCAGAATGCCCAGGACTGGGATGAGGCTGTCCAGATTGTTTCTATTGAACAGAGCTGAAAACTCCCATTTGTAAAAGGATGCAACTGTGTTTTGTTTTGTCTGTCTGAATACCCAGAGTATCTAAGACTATAGCACCTATGATCAAGATAAAGAAAAAGAAATGTAGACTACGGCAGTTGATCTAAAAATACATACGTATATATTTTGATGCTTCCCATAGGAGACGAGTGGAACATTTCAGTGCCTTCTGGCCAGCCAACCTGAATAATGAAAGAACTCTTAGGGGAAGTGAAAAGACACAGTAAATATTTACGAAGTTAGAAGAACATCTAGTGGCCACATGTAATGGTCCTATGTTGGTAGCTTTAACAATGCAGTTATCACAGTGGAGGTGTGGGGTCAAGTGCATGTCCCAGAATCCTTGGGTGGGTGACAGGTAGCTCCATCCATGAAAAATCAGCCTTCAAGACAAGAATTGCTGCATCCAGAGAACTATTTAGAACCTGAAACAAATGATTCTTCTCAAAAGTGCAAAGTGGCCAGAATCATCAACTGCATAGCATGCGGTAGAAGTAAAGTCTTGTTTGATAAAGAGGAAGAGACCCCTGTCTATGGAATGCCCACCATGCCCTGGATGCCCTTGAGGGTCATCATATACTTAGACCACACCATATCTTACCAGCTGTGCAACCTTGCGCAAGTTGCTTAACATCTCTGTGCCTGTTCCCTCATCAGTAAAACAAGAGAAATAATAGCGACACCTTATTAAGTTATTCCAGGTAATTCATGAATTAAAACATATTTAAGTGCTTCCAAAAGTGCTTGGCATATAACAGACACTCAGCAAATGAGAGTTAGCATTAGTCTTTCGTTGAATCCTCTCAGTGACATTAGGAAGTAAATATTATTACACTCCTTTTAGTAGGGAGGATACAGATGCTTGGGGAAGCCAGGTTCCTTGCTCAAGCCATTAAAGCCAGGAATGGCTAATTCTGCGTGTTGCTCTCCTCCTATGCACTAGTCTCAGTGGCTGTTGGGGTTTGATACCCACTGGCTCTGGACCAGAAGTACCAAGCCTGGTGACCTTGGAG